CCAGAGCAACTGGAGCGCCTGCGATTCGCCGTATCCGTCCTCCACGCCTTCGGACACCACTGGGCGTGCCAGTTGAAGTATCACCCTCGATGACGGACGCTGTTTGGTCTGTCCGACGGGGAGGGATGCGAACGCTTCTGGCACTCCATCAGCAAATTGATTTCGTATTTGCGAGTATGCGGGGTAAGTCATGCGTCGTTATTGTGCTCCACGGTGGTGCTGAAGGACGCGTTTTGCAGTTTCACCGCCGACTGTACACCCTGGACTCCCAGATCCACCATCTGCAACAGGCCAGCATCCGGCGGTTGGGTGCTTGGCTAGCCAGACGTTGGGCTCATTGTCAAGAGATGCGGCGGGAGGCCGAGGCGATGCTACTTAAATGTGAGCAGCCGCGGAGCTTATTGGAGGCGGAGTACAAGAAGCAGGTGGCGGCGCAGACAAAGCCGCTGCCAAGTAAGTTGTGCCCTTTGTGCTGGGAGTCTATGGGAGCTGATACGTTGGCAGAACGGACCAAAAACGCGGGGAAACTGGCCGTCGAAGAGGTAGTGCGCCGACGAAAAGCGTTAATCGTCTTGAAGGAGCGGGTTAAAAGCTTGGAAGAGGTGATTTTGGATGTCATGTCCGATAATGTGGATGTGGAGGTGGCGGCCGGGGACTTGGCGGAGGCCAAGGCGAAACTTGCCAAATCCCAGGCGTCGCTCAAGCTGAAGGAGGCAGCTCTGGGTGTAAACGACCGGCAGATACTCAAGAATCTAACAAACAGCCCTTATATACAAGCACGCATGAACGCACGGGCACTGAAGTGCCGGTTGCGAGAGAAGCTGCGATCCCGGAAGTTCGAGCTGGACCGTGTGGAACGGAATTATCATAGGAAGAAAACGGGTAAGTCTTACTTTTTTAGTGGTCGAATAACTGACGGAAGGAGGATTCCAGATACGAAGCTGAAGACGCATATTGAAGACGCAGTCAAGCGGCGGGACCCGGGCATACAAGAGCTCGTGCGGCATTACAACAAACTCTGCGCGGAGATGGAGCGTCTCATTAAAAATCACAAGGCTCCTCGGAACGCGCTGCCACCGGAACCGATTGCGCCCAAGTCTGTTTGGGGACTGGATGTTGACGACGAAATCTGGCAGGACATTGGGCTCGACGACGCGTACGACGAGCAGGAGCCCCCGTTGTGGCTGAAGAGCGAGGCGGTCCGCGACGGGATCAAGGCCATGCTGCAGCTGGACCGGTGCCTTGAGGAAGAGCCACGCCTCTTCCACGAGTGCCGGGCGTTGCGGTACTGGCTATCGGAAGAGTGGGATGCGGTCGCACTTGCCAAAGATGTAGCAAGGGAAGACGAAGGTATGCGCGTGTTGTCGGTGTTGAGCGCCACTCGCTGACAACGTCCTCTACAGGAAACGCCGGCCTCGAGCACCAGCTCGCCTTGCGGCAGCAGGAACTGTGTCAGTTATGTGCGACGTGGGAGTCTGCCATGTGCCCCATCCCTTTCAAGAAGGAGGGGTTACCGGCTTGGGGCCCTTCTGACGCGGAGCTGCTGGCCGTGCGCATTGAAGATGTAGTGGCGAAGACAGGCACGCGGGGGGAGGAGGAGGATGACGAAGTGGATTCGGACGACGACGACGACGACTTGCCTATCGACGAAATCGAGGCGTTTCAAAGGGCTGAAGTATACGCAGAGGGGCGGACTGGCCGGGACGATTGGGGGACTCTAACGGACGACGACGAGGACTGGTTCGCGACATAGATAGATAACATTTCGTAGCAATTGAATACAGGTCGTATACAAGTCGTATACTAGAGTTGTTCGGTGGAGGAATCATTTGTGAGGACATACGTATGTGGTAGACTGAGTGGCTAGGGTGGCACAGAACAGGGAGGCGCCCATTGTTCAATGAAATAGGAAAGAGTGGAATGGGGAATGAGCTGAAGGTGGCCAGAGAAATTGAGGCCATTGGAAGACAATGGGCGCTCAGATTACCGTTTTCAGCGAGGAATAGAGATTGGTGGGTGGCACGGTGTCGGTACCAAAACTATTTAAGCTGAATGCCTTGACAGACGAATCACCTACGCTGCCCTCTTGCCCATGGCGCCCATCCGAACCACTTCTCACGTTGCCCGACCGCTGCCGCTCGAGCGAACCTTCGTCGGTGGCTTAAACCGTATGTTGGCGGAAACCGCGGCCAAGACCCACTTCGACATCAACGCGACAGACCCCAGCAACCCGAGGCACGTACGCCTATACACGCTCAAGGAACTGGACGATCATGTCCGTCGGGGCAGCGATCCTGACGTGGGGCTCGACTGTCTTTTCTGTTGGCTACCCATCTCGGCGTGGGGTTGTGGCGAGTACCTTCGCAAGGGCGGCCTCCTCATCGCGAAATCGCTTGTGTGCAAGGCATGCTGGCGGTTTTGCTGGGAGAACGACCGTCTTGATTATCTCGACCTCGAGACGAACCTAGCCTCTCCGCCAAAGGTATGTGCGTTGGCTCCCAATTGGATCCACTCGACTCACAAATTATTCAGTGCACATGTCCGCCTGGATCGAAGGCATGCCAGGATATCCTTACGGGCTGCGAACTACACGATGGTGCGTTGCGCTGTCTTTATTTTCTTGTCCCTACAACTTAATTGATATGACATGCAGTCCGTGCCATGACGCGCGCGCCGCGGGGCGTCTTCACTTTGGTCCGCCCGATGAATCGGGAGGAGATCGGCGAGGAGCTCGCAAAGCGCTCGGACAAGCGTCTCCGGGACTTCAATAACGCTTCGGATGCTCGGTATGAGGAGACCAACGCGAAGTACGAGACCGCGCTCCAGTGGGAGCAGGACTTCAAGACGACCCGGGTGGCCGACTTCCGCATGCCCCCGCCTTCCCCCCCTCCTACGGTCGTCATTCGAGCCCCTCGCCCTTATGTGCCACCCCCTCCCCGACGCAACGCACCGATGTTCCCTTCCACTTACGACTACGCGGCTGCGGCGCGTCAACGCGCCGCCAAGCAGAAGGAAGACCTTATAGCTAAGGCGTGGTATAGCTATCTAGATTAAAACAACCGTTGCTGTAGACATTTATTTACAATTACAACGATTAGGAATACGATACATGACAATTACCTTGGAATTGGATGTTTGCGAAGTATAGAGACAAAATGTACATTTCACTTACTATTAGATGTTGCAGTGTCTTCGAAAGAAAAAACTTACAGACCAGGTCGCGCAGTGATAAGACTTCCGAATCCTTAGTTAGGTGTGGTACTGGATTTGTGTATGTACTTGGACTACTAATTAATAAATGTGTGGACCGAGTGGTGTAGTGGTTACACTCCTGCTAATTATTGATGACCTTTCTAAATCTTCTGCAGGTGCCGTGGGTTCGAGTCCCATCTCGGTTATGGTATCGGTTGAAATGTTTTTTAACTTCGCTGCCGAGAATAGTAGGAATAGTAGTTTTGATAAATGCGACCCTCTGTATTGACTGAGTGGTGTACTGGTAACATTCGTGCTAGTTGTGGACACTATCCTCAATCGTTTACTGCGTGGGTTGTGGGTTCGAATCCCATCTCAGTCATAGGTTGTAGCTGTATTACCTTTTTTTTCTGTTGCTTTGGTCAATCGTCAAGGCAGTAGTTTGTTGGCGGTACGACGTAACATAACATAGTGCCTTTGTGATTATGACTTTTGTGAACAGAAAATTGTGAAAAAAAAAAAATATATATCAGGAGCTGGGGATGCCCACTACCTACAATTGGGGGTGCCCATGTACCCTGTAAATAATAGAGCTAGGTGGGCGTCCCCACACTACCGTCATTGGGGGCCCCCGTTTATATGATCCAAGCTGTGGGGGTGCCCAGTCTTTTCCGGGGACGCCCATGCTAGACTGGGGATACCCGGGCTTTAGAACCCGGAATCGGGGACGCCCTCGTGCGTATCTGGGGATGCCCAGGTATCAGCACGGGGGGCACCCATATGACATGGGACACATGGTGGGGGCGCCCAACAATAGGCCTGGGGATGCCCGCTGTTAGCTGTGGGAGGGCCCATACCATCTCTGGGGCCGCCCAGATAGTAACAAGTGAGTGGGGAGGCCCAACACAAGTGAACACAGATATAATGATATGAGGATGGCTGTCAGCCGTTAGAATTCTGAGGTGGATCTGAACTCCAGTATCGTTGATTTTATATTTGTCCAAGGCTGCATTCAGTAGCGTTACTTGCGGGCACTTTGCATCATTTTGTGTTACTCCACCCGCTTAATTTCGGGGCAAAGTGACGCAATGTAACGCCAAGTACTGCTAAATAACGGGTGCTGAATGGAGCCCAAGTCTTTTATGAGTGTAAGATGTCTTTCTTCAATATTCAATATGCATTGTTCTGATGTAGCTAGCTAGCATCCAACTACAACAAATTCACAAATTCTGATATGGTGAAATTTATCTTGTGCTATCTGGGCTATACACCAAGACCAATATCAGATTTGTGTTTTGATATATGCAGTGAAGTGGGTACCACAGTAACAGCAGAGTGATCCTATAATCACGATATTACTTGTGCTATGCAAAGCTGCATGTAGAGTATGCAAGCAGAGGAAAAGGTAGTCCTGAGAGTTGACACAAAAAAAGCAATGCTACTGCACCTGGTCCTGCCAGAGAGAGCACTGATATCATGAAATTTTTCTTCCGCTGCGCGGAGCTATATAGATATACTGCTGCTCAGAGAGCCCAGACACCAATCCTGGCCCCAACCAATCGTGCACAGATATAGCTGATATCATGAAATTTTTCTTCCGCTGCGCGGGGCTGGATTGAGGGTGCGCAAGCGCGCCAAATACCGGGGCTAGCGCCCCGGAAAGAGGTGTGACGCGTGACATTTTTGGGCCTACCCATACCACAAGAAAGCCAGCATCTGGGAGCCCCCAAGGACCCAAAAAGCATAAAGGGTGGGAACGCCCACCCGTAGACGCCTGGGGGCGCTCCCCACTATTTGGGACCCTCTTGGGCTTTTGATTCACCAATGCATATATAACCCTAGAGGGTACTGGTTGGGGGCTGCCCGAAGTGTGGGCGGCGGCGTCTTTGTCTTGGACGGGTATCTTCCACTACCTTTTTTTTTAGTCCCACTTTTTTTGACACAATTGATTTCCGGCTTCAAGTTCAAGCTGCAGCTTGCCCCGACGTGCGAGAGAAGGGGTTTCAATTTTGGATTGAAGTGATTGGGAATATCTTGTGATTTCACGAAGTTATTACAGGGGAGCCTTCTATCCTCCGGACGGCCAGGAATTCAAGATCGGCCGACGCCCGATGAACAATTCGGGCATGCTGGCGGAGTCGTAAGTAGTGGGCACTTGGTGGGCACTGCGCAACGCTCGCGTTGCAGGATTTAGACAAGTCATTCAAACTCCGACCCCGGCATCAGCCGCGTTGCCATGGTCAGTGATGTGGCCACGTGGTTGATGCCAGCGATGGTTCGTCGCTCTTGACTCTTGCCCTCATTCCCCCACGTCGTCGCTCGCTCTGACGCTCCCCTCCTCGGTCACCAAGCCCTGTCCTCTCAATCCCGCTCAGAAGTTGGTCCAAATGCCTTTGATACAGTCCCTCGAATCGCCTCGAGGCCTTTCCCGCTCTCGGACAGCCCTGTGACGGCCTCTCTCATATCTCGACGTCGAGGTCAAGCATCCTCAAGCCTCCTCAATGTCCCTTGAATCTTCAATCTGTCTCAATCCTTACCCATGCAAGTTCTCAACTTTCGTGTCTTCTTAATCTCGTCGAATGTGTCGCGCAAGTGACCTCATCAAGCATTCTGTCATCAACTTCAATCAACCTCCCCTTGTTCCTCAGCTTGGCTCTGTCGCATCCACCAACTCCAGATATTGTTCATCACTTTTCCGCTGGGACTGGGGTCATTCGACGCGGAGGGGGAGGGTGGAGATGTAGGGTGATGCCATGACAGCGGCTGGGAGCGGGGCTCAGCTGAGTTTCCTCTCTCCTTTCTTGATCCCTGGATAGCGACGTCTTTTCCCCGCTTGCGAGCCGTGGCCCGCACGTAACGGTGCTGATTCTTCCCGTGGTCGTCGCTACCTCATATGTCTTGTCACACCTCGATACATGTACTTGTAATTACACGAATATATCTCATTTGCCTATCACATCGTCTTTGAGAAGTGTCTTGAGCATCTTGAAGGATAATCTTTCCCAAGATGTTGTGCGTCTTACACGTCTTTCCCAAGACGTTCGTCTTGTCTAAGACTTTGGGACCTGCTTAGCCAAAGACGCGCGTCTTGGGCAAAAACACGTCTTTCGCGTCTTTGACGTCTTGCCCAAGACGCCAAAGACGTCAAAGACAGATGTGTAGTTTTACTGATGTAGTTGATAACCCCGAGAGACGAGAACTGTAGGTTGCCCGAAAAGACGTCTTGAAGAATTGACGCGAGGAAATCAGACTTGAGGCGTCAGAAATTTTCGTAGCGCGCAAAAGCAGCAGAACATCATTTGGAAGGTGGTTTGATGCGGCTATTCCATTAGTCGGCGAGCGGGAATGACCGAGCCAAATTCATTTGCTGGGTGTAAAGCTGGGAGAAGAATCAAGGGCAGGAAAAGATGGGGCGTGTCCCAAAGACATCGGCCCATTTATAGTGGAAAATTCTCGGAGAAAAGGCACGCGCAGTGCTGCGTCGAGAGCTGTGAAAGGGTCAGCTGCACTCTAATCCATTTGAGAAGAAGACTGGGCTTATCGTCTTTGAGACCAAACCATGGCCAAGACTGGGCTGTGTATGTCTGATCCATCCAGTTTTCGTGCTGCGCTGTAGCTAAAAAGAGAACAGTGTGCAAAGTTGCCGGGGTTGAAAAAATTGCCGCATTGCGTGGCCATTCGGCGACGCTTGCGCAGGCCGCAGTAGCGAAGAAGCAAGAGGGCACGGACCCCATCAAGCCCCTGTGCACCATCACTCATGGAGTAATCGAGCCTGTTGTTCAACTGCGAGAACAGAGGGTGTTGAATGTAGATGGGTCCATATGGAGCAAAAGCACAGCTTACGCACCATCTCGTTAAAGAACGGTTAATTTCGACCGTTTGTTACTATTGTTACTATTGTGAACACTACCTATGCTACATGTGCAGCTGAGGTACGGGGGCTAACCCGTCCACGGTAGGCCATAAACTAAGTGATAGAAAAGTAGGTCGGGAAAAGGGTGTCGCAGGCGGAAGGTATCGCAAAGTCCGTTACAGTCAGTACCACGTGATCAACTGATCCGATCATCCATAAAATTCCATGGGGTCGACGAGCGGACGCGGGGACGCGACGGAGGCTTCTGGGAGCGCCGAAAAGATGTCGAGAGGGAGGATGGGGTTTCGGTGAATGGAAGGCGCAGCGAGAGCGACACAAATAGTGCGGAACAGGCTGGATGCGCGCGCGGCGTCCTGGATGATCGTGGCAAGCGTGTCGGGAGTGAGGAGAGTGGGGTGCTCGAGAAGAGGGAGTATGTGTGCATGGAATGTTATAAGCTGTTTTTGAAAGCAATCGAGTCGCCTCATAAGCGCGCGATGGCCGATCACTATTTTCCTGTCAAGGCGGTAGCGAGCGCAAGCGGGATGCGATGTGAGCCCGTCCTGTCGCGAGCGTATGGCGAGGAATCTAGCAGCGCGATAGTGACGGCGCGGAATCGGTGGTGCGTCTGCTCGTCGTTGTCTGGGACGAAAGGGGATGCAGGTTGGTCGTGGTGTATCTGGGGTGGGGGGCATCGTATTGGGCTGAAACCTCGTCCAGGGCGGCGGACGGTCCTGGGCAGGTGAACTATCGGCGGCAATCGAGAGCCCGGCGCTCGATGCAGGCGTAACGACGACTGGCCACCGGGGGTGGTGGTGGTGGTGGTTGTTGTTGTTGTTGTTGTTCAGTGACGCGTGACAGAGGCTCGTGAAATCAATGATTTTGGCCCCAGTGATGGTGACGGCCATGTTTTGAGGCCCAAAACGGCCTAAAAACGTCAAAAATTTCGGTCCGGTGATCACCGGACGTCCATATATGGTAATTTCGCGTGATTGCCGAGAAATGAAGACCTTGTAGTGAACAAACGGTCGAAATAGTACAGTTACCTCTCGCTTCTCCCCTGCTGTCGTATCGGCCGGATACCCACTAAAACCTCAGCACCACCCGTCCAATTGTCCGGGAGGCTATCCTCTTCGTGTAGGACGCCCGTCCAACATCTGGAAACGCGGTTTTCTGTGGTACTCGTCATTCACGGAAGTAACCGGAAATCTGCTCCCCGGGCGAGAAATTTGTAGTTTTCCCTGAGTTTGGCTACTGGTGAAAACTCATCTGGATATATTCTCACCCTCCACATTGCAGTCGGTGTCAAAAATTATGTGTATAGCCTCTGTAGCTCGATTTATTTTGATGGATCTGATTTTGGCTATATGTGTCGAAGATTGGGGCACCAGGTTCATCCTGTGGACATACATAGAGGTTTCTGTAGCAGGAACTATACAGCAGTATACATTGAACATTACCCAAGACACAAAACTCAAGCAAGGTGACTTTATACCCATCAACAAGGCATCTTCTCAGACAAGTCGTAC